ATCTCCATTTTTTACACCTAATCCATACCAGGTGCTTGACAATGACAGGGAAGAAATGGAAGATGCACCTATACCTCGAGAACCACGCCCACCTCCTATCTTTGTCAAAAATTTGAGAAATTTCCAGTTGTTGTGTACTCAACTTAATAAAATCTGCCCAGGTAGCTATACATGCCTAAACAGAATAAATGATACAAAAATAATACCGGCCACACCTGAAGCGTACCGAAAAATCGTAAAATATTTAACAGACACAAATGCGGACTTTCACACATACCAGTTGAAACAGAAAAGAGCACTACGAGTTGTAATAAGAAATTTACACTCCTCAACCCCAATAGAAGTGATTAAAGAAGAGTTAACGGCGTTAGGGTTCAAAATACGTCAGATAACCAATGTATTAAAAGAAAATAAAGAACAACCAGGTGTAAAGAATAAAATCCCATTGACCTTATTTTTCGTCGATCTATAGCCATCGCCTGGGATCGAGAAAATATACGATGTGAATAGAATTTTCTACACCAGCGTAAAGGTCGAAAAACCGTACCCAAAAAGAGAGTTCATCCAGTGCCATAATTGCCAAGCATATGGCCACACCAAGTCTTATTGCCACCACTTACCACGCTGCGTGAAATGTGGTAAAACACACAAGTCTGGCGAGTGTAATAAACCAATTACAGAACCAGCAGTCTGTGCCCTATGCCTGGAAGGCCATCCAGCCAACTACAAAGGCTGCCAAATTTATAAAAATCTTAAAGCGAGATATATGAAACCCAGGGACCCTGATGATACACCTAAACCAAGAAGAGGACCCGCTAAAATTGTGAACTCTAATGTTTCTTTTGCCAAGCTACTTGGGGGTAGAGACCCGACTAATGAATGTGAGGCCCTGCCGCAAGAATAAACTCAACCCCAATCTCAATATCCTATCCCACCTAATGTACCCAATCAACAACAACCTCACCAACATCAAATCCAATATGTTCCTCCACCGCCTAATGCAACAGATCTAACCAGCTTATTGACATCCTTTCTTTCAGAATTTAAATCCCTTGTTACCCCACTGATATCACTTCTCACTATCCTAGTATCTCACCTTATCCCTCCTTTAAAAAATCCTTAAATAATTTCCATCAAACCCATATCCATTCTCCTTTGGAATGCGAATGGTGTTAGAAATCACATACACGAACTAACAGCCTTACTACAAGACAAGAACGTAGACGTAGCCCTAGTAACGGAAACTCGACTGACTAAAAAACAGCTCCTAAAAATACCACAATACATAACTTACCGTACCGACCATCCTGACGGTAGAGCACATGCCGGTACTGCAGTCATTGTGCACCAATCCCTCTCCCATCACCTACTCCCACTGCCTACACACGATTTCCTACAACCCACCGCAGTCGTAATCAAAACCTTCTCCTTTCCTATTACCGTTGCATCAGCGTATTGCCCTCCAAACCAATCCATCTCCAATATCCAATTTAGTTCCTTCCTCATTTCCTTAGGACATCATTTCATCTTGGGTGCAGACTTAAACGCCAAGCATCACCAATGGGGTTCAAGAACCACGAATTCTCGTGGTCGAACATTGCTGTCTGTACTCAATTCCCAAAATTTTACCCTTCTTCCACCCAACTCACCTACCTACTGGCCCACTGATCCTAACCGTAATCCCGATATCCTCGATTTCTTTATCCATAATGGTTTAGGTGCTCTCAACCATTCCGTTGCCCGTCTTGACGAGCTTTCCTCAGACCACAGCCCATTAATACTCCAAGTATCACTAGCTCCTATTCCTAAACCCTCTCCTCCGTCCTTCATCAGAGGCCCAGTTAACTGGAAACTCTTTCATCAAATCCTCTCCGATAAAATTGACCTCAGAGTAACCCTGAAAACCCCTGAAGACCTGGACAATGCAGTACATTCCTTCACTACCAAAATTCAAGAAGCAATCTGGACTGCTTCCTCCCCTGATCACTCCTCAAAAATCCTTAAGAAACATAATTTACCTCAACACCTCCTTGACCTAATCCACATAAAACGCCGTACCAGATTATTATGGCAACGTACCAGACATCCAGCCGACCGCCACTCCTACAATTATCACCGTAAAAATTAAAACAAGAATTAGCCACCTTCAGATCCCAATCATTCAATTCCTACCTCACCACACTCTCTGCTCATGATAATTCCCTTTCGAATATCACCAGAAAAATCCTCAAATCCCATCATATTTCCCACCCTCTTCGACGAGATGATGGCTCCTGGGCAGCATCTGATGAAGATAAAGCCGAGGAATTTGCCAAACACCTTTCCTATACTTTCGCTCCTCATCCAGAATCCCATCCCAGCCACACAGTAAAAGTAGAAGAATCCCTCTCAATACCTATCCCACTCTCCTTACCACCTAAAGCTGTTAATCCCTCTGAGGTCAAATATCTTTTACGGAAAATCACTCCTCGCAAATCTCCTGGATATGACCTTCTAACCCCACAGATCCTTCGACAACTTCCATCTAAAGCCATCATATTTCTTACATATACATACAATTGCATCCTACGAACTACCCACTTCCCTCTTTTATGGAAACATTCCACCATCGTCCTTTTCTTGAAACCAGGCAAACCTTCCGACAATACAGCATCCTATAGACCAATTAGCCTACTCCCAATCCTCTCAAAAATTTTTGAAAAGATCCTACTGAAACGAATCCTACCTATAATTGAATCCTATAACCTTCCTACTCATCAATTCGGATTTCGTTCCCAACATTCCACTGTCCAACAAGGACTCCGAGTTGTTGACCACATATCCTCAACCCTAGAAAGCAAGCAGTATTGCTCGGGTGCATTTCTGGACATAGCGCAAGCTTTTGACCGGGTATGGCACGCCGGATTACTCTTCAAGCTTAAAATCCACCTACCACAGTCCTTATACCTAGTACTCCGATCCTATTTTTCCGACCGCTCGTTCCGAGTTCGCTGTGGCACCGAATTCTCCGACTGTTACTCAATTGAGGCTGGCGTTCCTCAAGGCAGCGTCTTGGGCCCCATCCTTTACATTCTCTTTACCGCTGATATTCCTGTCCATCCCGATACCCTCCTGGCAACTTTCGCTGATGACACTGCTATTCTTTCTTCCAACTCAGATCCTGAAACAGCGTCCGCAAACTTACAAAGGCACCTCTTCCTGATTGAACACTGGTGTAAGCAATGGCGCATTAAGGTAAACGAATCTAAATGTAAACACATTACCTTCACCCTTCGGCGTAATACCTGCCCACCAGTTTATTTTAACTCCATCCAGCTTCCTTTCTCAGATACAGTCCGGTATCTTGGCTTTCTCTTAGACAGACGACTAACATGTAATCCACATACTAGACTTAAAAGACAGGAACTTAACAGACGATATGGCCAGCTATATAGACTACTGATTAGAAAATCTAAACTTTCTGGTGAAAACAAATTACTGATCTACAAGACAATACTGAAACCCATCTGGACTTACGGACTAGAACTATGGGGAACAGCCAAATTTTCTAACATCAAACGCATTCAATCCTTTCAGTCTAAAGTCCTCCGTACAATAGTCAATGCTCCCTTCTATGTAACCAATAAAACCCTACACCATGACCTTAATATCCCATTTATTCTTGATCTTATCCCAGCCAAATTTTCCAAATTTCACCAGAACCTTTCTCATCACCCAAATCCCGTTGTACAATCCCTATCAAGCACCACCCATCCCTACAATCCCCTTCGTAGGTTAAAGCGGCAGTGGCCACGAGACCTTTTGTAAATATGGATATTTTGGAGTTCTAGCAATGGCCAGATTCTCCACTCAAGTCATGAGTGTCTGTGGCTGTAGCGCTCTTACTCATCCTCCGCTGGTTTAAAATACCAGTGAAGTGGCTGAGGGAGAAGCGTAGGGATCTCCTAAGCCTCCCTTTTCCCTCCACATGTGGAGGGGACAGGATTGGTTCGGAGATCACCTGGCAAATTGTAAATAATGTATATAGGTATGTTTTATATAAGGTGTTTGTTTTACTTTTATTTCTATTTTTATTTACTTATGTGTATATATATATTTTTTTTCTTTACTCTTTTGTTCTTTTTTCTTATTCTTTTGTTATTACTTTATTAATTTATATTTTTGTATATACGGTATGAATGCAATCTCTGAACTCTATTATAAGTGTCCTTAAACTGTGACAAATTGTAATATTTCTGAATAAAGTGTTTTAATAATTAAGAAAACGGCTAAATTACCTCCGTCACCTATTTCCATTTGAAACCCGTCAACTCCTTACTACTTACTTAATATATTCTCACTTAGACTATTGCGGCATATGGGGGTGTCTCCGGGGATCTCGAGGGGAAACTAAAAGGTTTGGTAAATTGCCTTGTACGATTCATCTTTGGGATACCAAGGGATGCCTCCATTTCCCGTTATTATAATATTTCCTATCATCCTTCCTCTTCCAAGTCATCCAATTCCGAAGTCCTTCATACATCTCCAAGCTCCATCTATTCAAATCCTCAGTCCACTCCCGCAAAACTCGTTCCCGGTCTTCAGATTTGTATACAAGATGCCACCGAACCGCTGCTTTCGACAGATCTTTCATTATCCGATCCACATCCGTATAGAATTTTATCTTTTCCTACATCCGTCGCTCCAATACTCTCCCCACCTTTAAATCCCGCCTGTTCAATCACCTCTTATCCATTCAGATCTCATAAAATTGTAAATATGTATATAAATAATTAGTTTGTTTTAAATACTTTTATTTCATTTTTCCCCTCTTAATTGAAGATTGAAGGTAAATAATATTCTTCCTTTTATTTATTCATTATATAAATCTGTTTATTTTGTAATTATTCTCTGAGGCTCTAAAGCCCACATTTCTATCTCGGTACATTATTCTAAAGGGCTTGTCCCACAATATTTAAAGCTTTATTATTATTATTTATTTATTATATTATTTTTTTCAGAGAAGCTAAAGATAAATTTTTTAACCAAAGCAATCGCATCGTTTATTACACATGTAAGTCATACATAGACCTAATCAACAGCTATATCGCAGTATTTCAGAAAACGAAAGCTGACGTTGAACAGACGGTTTTGCGTTATGTAAATGGGCGGCAAAAGTTAAAATTTGCCGAAGCACAAGTAATTATTTATATTAGTTTGTTCTCTAAATTATTAAAATAAACAATTTTTGTTTGCCCGTTGACAATTCCAATATGTTACGTTAACTTTTGCTAAATTAAATGTTTTATATTTTACACGTTTCGAAGCAATAGGCCGCGTCAAACTTGGAAATGATTACATCTGTTATAATTTTTAGGTTATTCAAATGCAGAAGGATTTAGATGCTTTAATGCCAGCTATTGCAAGAAATGCCCGAAAGGTTACAGAAATGATAACCCAAATGGTTATAGAACAGCATGGAGTTGAGGAAACTGCAGCGCTAGTGATGAAAGAGGAAGAGGTAGTAAGGCTACAGGCCGAAGAAGCGGAGAGGTGTAAAAAGGAATGCGAAGCAGACCTTCATCTATTGCTACCTATCGTCGAAGGTACCTTTCTTCCATATCAGCAATCTTATATATTTTTAGTTAAGCAAGTTTTTTAATCAATCATGCACACTCGCCTTATTGAAAACGATTGAATCTTTTACATAGTTCTTCTTTATTTTTATTATCATCCAATGAAATCCAGTTAGTATTAGTGTATTGAAATGTATTGACTGAATGGGCCATACTCCAGGATTGGGTTGCACAGAGAAAAAAAACTACTCATATGTTTTTATCTGATTTTCATTTGTTTAGTTGTTATTAGCTAATTACAAATAAACAATATTTCGTACATTTATTAATATGTTGATATTGGCGTTATGATTTTGTTTATAACAGTTTCTAAATAAGTACCATTGTATGACGGCGTCATTTTAGAGAATCTCCTCAGAGGAGACCACTACGTAGATTTTTTTACGATTTGAATTGCAGGGGTTATTAGATCGTCGGATTGGTCGCTGTGGTCCAATTAGTCAGCCTCCAAGATCTCCAGGCCTCACAGTTATTTATGGAGCAGGTTCGAAGAAGTATACAAAATAAAAGTAGGCACTCTGCTCTAATTCAAACCATTACAACTATCGTAGGCGTCATTAAAGGGAATTATGAATCAGGATGGCTAATGTCGCCTTTCGAAGACGAAGCCAAGAATGTTTAGAAGTTAATGGTGGTATTTTTGCACATTTATCGGAATAAGAATTCGATAACCGAAATGCTAATACATATATGAAATATTGTGAATTCGTGAATTGTGAATAAAAAAAAACCTGTACCAATAGAAACCATGAGGGGTCTTGGGTTCCGTAATATTTAGAGAAATTACTGTTTCTTAGTAATCGGTTGTTAAATGAGGTGATTTGACTGATCACGCTCAACCACCACGTTTCCTCTCTTAATTAATTATTCAATAAACGGTACCCACTTTGAAGAGGCTGGGTGTGCCCCAGAAGGGTTTCCCGACCTCAGAGTCGCCCATCGGTTGATATAACAGAATAAATATTTTTTTCTGTCCCGATCCGGGATTCGAACCTAGGACCTTGAGTTTTCGAAGATCAGTGCCCTCCTACTTAGCTACATGTATGTTTTAAATATTATTTTCTTGTGTGCAACCCCTTCCTGAACTCCTCCCGATTTATCCTGTATATTTTTAAAATTGTTTGTTATTATTTATTTTAAATGATTAATTATTGTATTCTGAAGAATAGATAAACATTTTATTTTATTTTACAGACGCAATCAAGGCGTTAGATACTGTGCGAAAAGACGATTTGACTTTGCTCAAATCGATGTCAAGACCTCCAGATGCAGTAAAGATCGTGATGGCCGCGGCATGCGTAATGCTGGGTATAAGGCCCGATAGAGTTCCTGATCTCAGCCGTCCGGGACATATGGTGAGTACTAGATAATATATTCATAACTAACTAACTAACTCTAACTCCTCGGCGCTACGGGCCTGCATGACCCTTGGCCTCCTGAATCCACTTCTCTCTGTCCTGTGCTACTCTCTTATAATTGCGAACTCCTAGCTTCTTCGCATATCTCTCCACATCATCCTTCCATCTGCTTCTCGTTCTTCCTCTTTTCCTTTTCCCACTGAAGTGTGCTGCCAATATTTTTCTCTGCAATCGTTCATTCTCCATTCTGACTACATGTCCTGCCCCTCTCAGCCTACTTGCCTTGATATAGTTAGTAATGTTTTGTAATGTAGTAATGTATATTTAAAATCATTAAAGATTAGAACAGTGTTCTTGTTCTTCGTCTCATATCAAATTGACTTCTCCGAGAATAGGACTCTAGTTGTCGGACACCATCTTACTGAGTGCTCTAAGAGCTCTCCAGAACTCAATAAGACAGTGTCCGACAATGAAGAGTCAACTCTGAATACTGAGTACTGAGCAGTGTAATAATTATGAATATCAATTATAATTCATAATTTTTTGTACTTACAACATTCGTTTTAGAGGAGATAAGTAAAATGGTAACAAATAATTTATTATGGGATTAATATAAGTAATAAACAATTAAAAACTTTTTTAAGCTAGATCTTTTATTATAAAAAAAAACTTTAACTTTAATATCTTATTGATAAAAGATTTTTTCAAACAGGTAAAATTGAATACATTGGTAAAAAAAAAAAATAACTGTTTCAACCAAGATAGTATGAAGTTCAAAAATAATAAAACGATAATTCATATCATATAAGAAACATATCTTATTAATTTAATTAATTTACACACATTTTAAAAATATTTATTTATTTATTTATTTGATTTTTTTTTGTTGCCTCTACCCTGTAGGGTCATTGGCAACACCTTTGAATTAAACTCTGTTGTAGAATTTTATCATTTTTAAGAACTTTAAAGTTTTTTTAACGGCATTTTCATGGTCTTGTAGATTTTCTTTCAGACTCTGTGCCATGTCTAACTTTCTCCTTATAGGATCAAATGTAGGGCATTCTTGAATAATGTGTTTTACTGTCCTTTGGACATTGCAGTTCTCGCAGGTCGGAGGATCAAGTCCTCTTAGTAAGTAGGAGTGCGAGAACTCACAATGTCCAATTCGCAGTCTGCAAAGGGCTGTCTCCTCTTTTCGAGATGGTCGGTGCGAGGTTTTCCATTTTAAACAGTGGGGTTTAATTTCTTTTAATTTCGATTCTCCTTGTTCCCACTTGTTTTGCCACATGTTCCACACATTCTCCTTAATTTTTATAACGTAATCCTCTAGAGGGATTTCATTAATTGATTCAACGGATGTTGTATCTGGCTTTCTTGCTATGTTGGCTGCTTGATCTGCTTGTTCATTACCGATGATCCCGCAATGCGAAGGGACCCAAATGAACACTACTTCTTTGCCCTTCTCCCTTAGTAGCCACCAAACGTTTCTTACATCTTTTGCGAGAGAGGTTTTGGGCATGTTATGTTCAATAGCTAGTAATGAACTCATAGAGTCTGTCACCACTGCCCAATTGGTAGTTTCACTTGTCTCTATGTGCTTAAGAGCTTCTCTAATTGCTAGCATTTCACCAGTAAACACTGAGCAAGCCTCCGGAATTTTGAATAGTTTTTGAGTATTAAAATTCATAACGGAACACCCTACTTCCTTATCAACTTTTGAGGCATCCGTATACAAGATGTGACACTCCTTATATTTTTCCAAAGTTTCTAAAAATAATTTTTGAACTTCAACTGGAAGTGCCGTATCCTTTTTATGTCTGGAAATTGAGGTATCTATAATTGGTTTGACATTGGTCCATCTGGGAATTATTATATCCGGCACATCCAGAGCATTTTCAATGTTAAGATCCGAAAAATGCTCAAGAAGCGTTTCTACAAAGTTTTTCTCCCTGATGTTACCTGATTCCTCATTGCAGAATAATATCTTATTTAGTATGTGTCTTGGGATTTTAAAAATAATATGAATAATTATTTAACATTTTTAGATGGAGGATTTCTGGGCACCGAGTAAAAGACTTCTCGGTGACATACAGTTCCTACAGAAATTGAAGGAATTCGACAAAGACCATATTCCCCATGAACGAATACATAAAGTGCGTGTCGAATATTTAACTAATAGAAACTTTGCACCGAACATAGTTGCAAAAGCCTCACGAGCTGCACGAGGAATCTGCAAATGGATTATCGCCCTGGATAAATATGATACCATAATGAAAGTAATACAATTTGTTATTTCTTATAAATTATATTAAATTCATAATATTTAGATGAATTTTGTTATGTTTATGTTATGAACCAAACAAAAAAAAAATTAAGATAAAAAACAAAATGCATATATAAGAATATAACGTATGCTTGACTAAATTTGTATTCTAAATTTTAAAAAATTTTCAGGCTGTTGCACCAAAGAAAGCAGTCTTGGCAAAAGCAGAAGCTGCGTTAAAGGAAGTACTCGAAAGACTTGAAGAAAAACAGGCGATATTAGACAAGCTACAGGAGAAGTTAAACGCCTTAAAATCTGCCAAGGAAGAAGCAGATGCTAATCAACTTAAATTAACCCAGGAACTGGAAATCTGCTCGATTAAATTAGAAAAGGCAACGTTTATCATAAGTAAGCTCATTGTGCTGTTTTATGAAAAACGTAATGTAATCTATTTATGCCATGCTTCACTCAGAAGGATTTGAATTATTCATCACAAAAAACAATTAATTAATATTTTGTTCTTTGATCGAACAATATCGCCTTAAGCAATAAGAACTGGTATACCATATCTATTGGTTTAATGTTATTCAAGAGTAAATATAAACAATAATTTATAAGAAATAAATTCATTAATGAGGACCAGCACATAATATATGTGCACATAATATATATATGGCCATGAGGATATTACTACTGTTCAGGCGAATTTCTAATCTAATAAAAAAAGGCAAATAAGTCTAATGAGTTGAACTTAGGTAACAGTAGACATTATTTTGACAGCGGACTGTAGTTTTATTGAATTTGGTAGGTTATATGGTTTATGAAAAGTAACTCACCCTTTTATACTGGCATATATAATTGTTACTTGGCCTTCGGAGGATGAAGGGCTCCCTCCTCCAGTCTGGTCTGGCCCTCTCTATCAACTGGGGCCCATAGCTTAAGCAGCCTAACTCTTATCAAATGTTTTTACAACTCACCGCAAGGCGGCGTCCGTATACAAAATTGCTTCCACAAAACAAGCACTTTCAACAAAAAGTTTTTATCGATTTATAGAAACAAATATTGTTTCAAAAATCTCTCGTTTATTAACTATATGTTAAACTTAAAAAAATATGAGAAAACAAAAGTAATTAAAATGGTGTATTTTCTATTTATTTTAACATTATTCACATAAACTTGTATTTGTAGATAGCCTTGGAGGGGAGCAGATTCGCTGGAAGCAATTAGAAGAAGAGAACCAGGAAAAGTTGGATAAACTGCCTGGTAATGTTCTGTTAAGTTGTGGTGTGATAACATATCTAGGTCCATTATCCAGCGATCTAAGGTAATTAATCATTATTAAATTAGACTCACCTATCTATATTATATATCGGAGTGGAGGGAATATGGAATGCTATTCGAGGAATACTGTGTTGAAAAGAGGACTACTTTATATATGTGGATTAAAAAGGACACGTGTTATTCTTGTTTACATGTGATTTGTTACATTTTAAAAAAATCGGCGAGTAATAGGGAAAATATTTAACAGGCTATGGGTAATATGAATAACTGTCAGTTGATATGAAATCGTATCCCATGAATATTGTGGCTTTAATGGGATATTTCTTGTTTGCTGGCTGCCGGCGCACAGTAGTCAAATAACATTTTGTTCTTTCAAGAAAATTGTTTATATTTCCTTCATATGAACTTTAACATAACAGCTTGTAAAGAGGATGTAAGTACCAATTAAGGCAAAAAAAGAAAACAAATTTTTTAGGTATTTTTCAAACTAATAATTTTTTTTTTTATTTCATCTCGTATAAAATTTAATTCTGAGATGAAAATATTCTATTGTTTTTTTGCGTTAACCCGTTTTGAAGAAAAACTGATAGAAAATAGCTAATTAACATACATTTTAAGATTTTAAAATTGCAATACCTCTTATGAAGGGGAGCGATTTATAAAATCTGACTTATGTCATTTTGTTGGACATAAAACAGTAAACAAAACCCAATTTATTTGGTCATGTTCTAGTAATATCCGGCTGAGATATCGATATTTAAAGTTTTGCATTTATTACTCAACATAATTTTTAGTAGACTTTCGTCAACAGTGGGGTTCAAGAACCACGAACACTCGTGGTAGAACATTGCTGTCTGCACTCAATTCCCAACGTGTCTGCCTCCTTCCTCCTAACTCACCTACCTACTGGCCCACTGATCCTAACCGCAATCCTGATATCTTTGATTTCTTTATCCACAGTGGTTTAGGTCCCCTCAATCATTCTCTTACCCGTCTTGATGACCTTTCCTCAGACCACAGTCCTTTAACACTCCATGTATCACTAGCTCCTATTCCTAAACCCTCCCCTCCATCTTTCATCAGAGGTCCAGTCAACTGGAAACTCTTTCAGCAAATCCTTTCCGATCAAATTGACCTCAGAATAACCCTGAAAACCGCAGAAGACCTTGACAATGCCCTGCATTCCTTTACCACCATGATTCAACAAGCAGTCTGGAATGCTTCCTCCCCATATCACTCTCCGAAAATCCTTTAAAAAAATAATTTACCTCAACATCTCCTCGACCTAATCCACATCAAACGCCGTGCCAGATCATTATGGCAACGCACCAGACATCCAGCCGATCGCCGTTCCTATAATTATTACTGTAAGCAACTGAAGCAGGAGTTATTTTACTTCAGATCCTAATTCGCTTTGGAATATCACCAAAAAAATTCTAAAATCCCATCATGTTTCCCATCGCCTCCGACGATGTGATTGCTCCTGGGCGGCGTCAGATGAAGACAAAGCTGAGAAATTTGCCAAACACCTCTCCTGCACATTCACTCCTCATTCGGAATCCCATGCTACCCACACTGCAATAGTAGAAGAATTCCTCTCTTCACCCATCCCACTCTCCTTACTACCAAAAGCAGTTAATCCTTCTGAGGTCAAACATCATTTACAAAAACTATCTCCGTAAATCTCCTGAATACGACCTTCTAATACCACAGATCCTTCGGCAACTTCCATCCAAAGCAATCATATTCCTCACTTATATATACAATTGTATCCTACGAACTACCCACTTTCCTCTCTTATGGAAACATTCTGTCATCATCCTTTTTCTGAAACCAAGAAAACCTTCTAATAACACAACTTCCTATAGACCAATAAGCGTACTTCCCATCCTTTCAAAAATCTTTGAAAAGATTCTACTGAAACGTATCCTGCCCATTATAGAATTCCAAAACCTTCCTACCCACTAATTCGGATTTTGTTCCCAACATTCCAATGCCCCACAAGGCCTCCGAGTTGTTGACCATATATCCTCAGACCTAGAAAGCAAGCAGTAGGGTGCATTTCTGGACATTGCCCAAGCATTTGACCGGGTATGGCACACCGGATTGCTCTTCGAGCTTAAAACCTATCTACCTCAGTACTTATATCTGGTACTTCGATCCTATCTCTCTGACCGTTCCTTTCAAGTCCGCTGTGGAACTTTCCAAGTTTTATTCAATTCAGGCGGGAGTTTCTCAAGGGAGTCTTGGGCCCTATCCTTTATATTCTATTTACCGCTGATACTCCTACTCATCCTGAAACTCTCCTGGCAACATTCGCTGATAACACGGCCATCCTATCTTCCAATTCAGATCCCGAAACCTACAAATAGATCCTTTAACGTACAAAGTCACCTTTCTCTTATTGAACACTGGTGTAATATCTAAATCCAACCACACCACCTTCACCCTTCGGTGCAAGTCGTGTTCACCAGTTTATTTCAACTCCATACCACTTCCCCTCTCCGACACAGTTCGGTACCTTGGCTTCCTTTTAGACAAAAGGCTAACATGGAACCCACATACCAGACTTAAAAGACAACAGCTTAACCGACGATATGTCCAACTATATAGACTGCTCAATAAAAAATCTCAACTTTCAGTTGAGAACAAACTATTAATCTACAAGACAATACTGAAACCTATCTGGACCTATGGACTCGAACTGTGGGGGACAGCAAAACTTTCCAATATCAAACGCATTCAATCCTTTCACTCTAAAGTTCTCCGAACAATAGTCGATGCTCCCTTTTATGTAACCAATAAAACCCTACACAATGACCTCAATATCCCATTTATACTTGACCTAATCCCAGACAAATTTTCCAAATTTCACCAGAATCTCACTCATCATCCTAATCCTGTAGCACAGTCTCTATCTACCTCCAGTCATCCCTACAATCCTCCTCGGAGGTTAAAACGGCAGTGGCCCCGCGACCTTCTGTAAAAATGTATATATTGGAGTACTGGCACTGGCCAGATTCTTCACTCATGTCCTGAGCGTCTGTTGGTCTTGTGCCCTCCATCAGTCTCCACTGGCTTACTATACCAGTGACGCGGCTGGGAAAGAAGCACTGGGATCTCCTGGAGTTGGCTTCCACAGCTGGGAGACAAAGCTTGATTCGGAGTACCCTGGGTCAATGTAAATATTGTACATAGGTGTGAATGTGTTTTATTTATTTTGTTATTATTCGGCTAATCTGTTATTTTACTTATCTTGTATATTACTTCATCTTTATATATATATATATATATATATATATATATATATATATATATATATATGTATATACATACTTTGTTTTCCTTTCTTATGTACATATTGTGTGAATGAATACTATAGCCCTAGTACCAATGCCCTTCAGTGTGGCAGACTGTATTAATACTCAATAAAAAAAAAGTAAAAAAAAAGTAGAATTTCGACGCGTTAAATTTCAGTAGTATCACCAGAAGGCATCAACCACTATTTTCTTTGTCTTCATTATTCTAAGGATATCTAAAATTAATTTCAATTAGTATTTTACCTCAGAGATATTTAAAAGATTTAATGATTCACGACTTCAGTTTTGTTTTTTTTCTTTGCTATATTTGCATGTATTTTTTCTAAGGAAAGATTAATATGTGTAAGAAGATAAAAAAAATTAATCTATTATCTTATGATCCTTGAGGACAGTACTAATTGAAATTTATTTTAGATATAATTAGACTAATGTAGTTTGGAAAATACTAACAAAAAATTATTTTTCCATTTTTTTTGTCCTAATTGGTACTTCAATACTCTTCACAGACTCTTATGTCGAAGTTCATATGAAGAAAATATAAAAATTTTTCTTGGAAGAACAAAATGTTGACTTATTGTAATTTTTACAAATCTGCGGCAATGGGAACAATACATTTTTAGCTTGGAGTCTAATTCCCGCACGTGTCCCACAGCAGGATTTAGCAACTTTGACGGAGAATGAGTTATTATGTTCCCGTTATTATTAAGTTGCTATTATTTGCATTAGAAACATTAGGTTCCGATAATATGAGCTATAGAGAGAGCTATTATAAAAAAAGGATTACGTTTTAACAACACCCATCAGCTATTACATGTTATAAGAAAAAAACTAACTACCCTTGGCCTCCTGAGTTTTTTTTTCTCCACTTCTCCCTGTCCTGCGCTACTCTCTTCCAATTGCGAACTCCTAGCTTCTTCGCATCTCTCTCCACTTCATCCTTCCTTCTGCTCCTCGGTCTTCCTCTTTTCCTCTTCCCACTGAAGTGTGCTTCCAATACTTTTCTCTGCAATCGTTCATTCTCCATTCTGACTACATGTCCTGCCCCTCTCAGCCTACTTGCCTTGATATAGTTAGTAATGTTTTGATTCTCCAATATAGCCTCAATTTCATTGTTACTTTTGATTTTCCACTCACCATTAACACTTGTAGCACCGTACATCCTTATTATTATTTTCCTTTCGAATACTTTTGGTTTACGGCAATCCTCTTGCGATAAACACCAGGTTTCCGCTCCATAGGTGACTACTGGTATAATAAGCGTTTTATACAGCTTTAGTTTCAGTGGCTTTTGACAACAATGGAGACTTGAGAAGTTATTATAAGAAATAATAGGGTCAATTGTAAACACGAAAAAAGATAATTCTTCTGCCCCGTAAGTTTGATCTATTTACCTTCCAGTCTATGAAAAATCCACCAATTTATTTCTAAGCTTTGTGCATTTAATTTTCATTGTTAGCAAACTGCATGAGGTTCCTATCAAACCTCATTTTCATTTATTTTCTTTTTTAATGTTTTCCAGTTTACTTTTAATGCTATTTTAGTCTATCTTAATTTACGATTCTATTTCTCTCATACGGTTATATTTCCTTGTTATACATCCAAATCCACCAGGTTTATTTCATTCATGTTAATTTTACATTGAAATACGGGTTTCGTCAAGTTTTCTCGTTTCTGTTTTTTCCTTTGATATTCAGGGTTTCTTAGTTCTTAATGGTCAAACTCTGGAGGACGATTCTAGACAAAATTTCTTAACAAGGAAGTTCATTTGTTCGGAAAAGTAGTTGGGACCAATTTTGTGTATTATTTGGTGGTCACGTTTTTTATTGAATAAGAAAGAATTTCTCAAAGACCGTCCAAGATAATTAAGTTCTGAGTACACCATCGTAAAGTATACCAACTTTTCTTTGAGAAAACGCTCATTAAATTTACTAAAGTCAATAATAATTATCGTGATATAATTCGGCATAATAGTAGGCTTTGCGTTATTAGACCTCCTGAAATCCCTTAAATCATGACCTTAGTATATTTTTTATAATTGAAAATTGATAAATTCTGCCACATTGCATGGCATTAATATTAGGGCTACATTGATCATTCACACAATATGAACATACAAATGATAACTAAAATAGATAAAATAAAAAAAAATAAATGCAGAAAATAAAATAAGAAAATTAATATACATATGTTACAAAAAAAAAAAAAATGAAATAATAGATAGAAACTACATGAAATTAAAATAGATAAAACACATTCACACCTATATACGATAATTAAATTAACCCAGGGGTCATACTTCCTCTCCCAAAATTGGAAGCCAAAGCAGGAATCCAGGAGATCCCAGTGCTTCTCTTCCACTCGCATCACTGGTATCATTGACCTTAGTAAATTTAATAGGTGTTTTTTCCTAGTATTTTTTTTGTTTACATTACGATGGTGTACTTAGAATTAAATTATCTTGAAGAGTTTTTGAATAATTCCTTCTTATCAATGAAAAACTATTAGTGTTGCCCGAGTCTTGAGAGACGAGTCTTGGTCTTGCGCAAGATTCTCGCAACAGTCTTGCAGTTGCCTGAACCGAATAAAAAATTAAAAGATTTAAATGCAAAAGTATATTGGTTATACCAATTCTTTACATATAGTAACTAAAATTTTTAAGTATTATTAACTATTTTGCCTTAATTTTTATTCAAAAAATCGATTTTTTTTTTTACCAATCTTGGTCTTGGTCTTGCAACAGTTAGGCGGCTTTGGGCAACACTAGTGACCATCTTAAAAAAAAAATCTTAATTTATTTTCCGATTTGAATCGGCTCTTTTATTAAATCATTTTTTTTTTTTTTTTGGAAATTTCGTCAAGAATCACTTCAAAGAATTTGGCGATTAAGAACTGAAATGCATATGGCGATGGTTCAATCTTAATAAAACATAAGATTTTTATTCCCGTCACTTCTATTCTTCTCACCGCAACCGATGAAAACTACATTGTTGCCTTTCAAAAGTTTTATATTTACTCTTAAAAGTTTTACTTTTAAGCTTGGCTTATTTATCAATTTATAGTTATTGATTCATTAGTAATTTGTAATGAAACTAATCATGGGTTGAATTCGAGTATTTTCCATTTAGTTTCCTAGTTTGCTTTTTGTTTCCCTTTACTTCATGGTTTCAATTGAATTATCATCAGTCTCCTTTATTTAGACTGATCTATATGAATGGAATCTTGGTCGTTAATCCTGTTTTAAAGTGAATTGTAAAAAATAAATGTTTACACATTACTTTTTTTTTTTTTTTTTGTGGAATAGAATCTCAAAAATCGTACGAGTGGAAAATGACCCTTATGCTCGAAATGATAACTTGGCCATGTAAATCAGATACTTAGTTTAACTTCCGTATTAAAGAACGACATTTGTTTTTCACCTGATATTTTGACTTATTCCATTAATTAATTAGGACACTCATCCTAGTACGAAATTTTTCAAAAATTGAGCAAGTTGAATAAACTTAAACGAGGGCGTGAAACTTTTTTAAAAAATTCCATTTTAAAAGTTGCTGTGAATCTCTTTAGGAAAAATAAAACATTTTAACAGTTTCTGTGAAACTTTTTAGGATTTTTTTTTTAAATAATAGTTCTACTGAACTTTTTTTTTTGCCAGTTTGTGGTGAAAATTTATTATTAAATTATTATTATTAAAATATAAGCCTCTCATTTGGCAGAATGACTAAAGCCCAATTTAAATATTTTTGAGTTAAGTCATTTTAGTGATATTTCTAGATGGAAAATTTATAATATCTATACAGACTGTGAGTAAGTTTATTTCAGAGTAGATGAATGCAGTGTTAAATATAGAACTGTGAATAAAAATATAAATTTCCCACTAGAAATATCATTAAAATTAGTAATAAAAAAATGTTGAAATTGGAGTCAATCATTCTGTCAACTGAAAAGCTCATTTACTCAAGTTCTGAAAAAAAGTTCATTTAAATGAAAAATTAACAGCAAGAGGGCTTAGATTAGGGTGATATTTTGTCTTAAACGAATTACACACGATTCTAGTCTGTCATTCGTTCGATAAACTATGAATAAACGACATTCTTTAGATAAATTTCTTTGTTAAATCGATAAAACTTTTAAATAAAGTTTTTTTAAAAATAAAAGTTACGAAGTTTAAAAATAACTCGTATGTAAAACCTTTACTTGAAAAGTCGCTAGATAAAAAGTTGTAGTTCCAGAATAACTAAAAAAAAACTATCGATTATAAAAATTCAGGTTACACCGAAAATTTAAAAAAAAAAAAAACATGTATATTTTTTTCGTTTCAAGTCTTGCTTAAAACCATTCTTCTTCACTGAAACAGTATTGAATATAATTGAATTTTTCGATGACATTACTAAAACTTATGACGTCGCTGCTAGGCTACGGTAACGCAACTCCGATATATAAAGAGACTATTCCATATCAACCTTCACTCCCTAATATATATATATATTAAAAATTACAAAGATATTTCAAAGAATATTGGAAATGTATTACAGATATTTACTAATCTGTAAAAATTTAAATGTTATAGAGAACATTTGGTTACTGATTGGAAAACGAAGCTACATGAGATGGAAATGCCGTTTTCAAATGATTTCCAATTCAGTCAAGTTCTTAGTTCAGAGCTTGCCATAATGAAATGGGTGATGAACGGGCTACCAAACGACCCGTTTTCTGTTGATAATGCAGTAATACTAAACTCCACACTCAAGTAAGTAACAAGACTTATTTATATATTTTTGTATAGTTAATATATTATTTACAAGCCTATGCATTTAATTTAATTTCTAGTTAATATTTATTCGTCAGAAAGTTTCTAAAATGCTACTATGAAGTCCACTTTCATTTCTTTTTGGCTTTAAAAATGGGCATTTATTCATTATAAGACAATAATATTCCTGCGGACACCATATTATTGTTTCATTTATTTATAACTCCTATATTAGGGTATCGAATATTGGGCTTGCCAGTATGATTGCCAGGGCCTTGAGTTTTTGGCGCCCTGGTTGAAATCATATTATTTTATGAAATCAATTGAAAAATTATTTTGTCATAGTTCTCCGTGGATGTGAGTGAATATAGTACAACAAAAAATCTAAAAGAATTTTTCAATCAATTTATATATTTTTTTAAAGAAATTAACTGGAAAATTCTTTTAGATTTTCTTGTACTATATTCACTAATACTCTTGAAGTACTGCGATAACGGATGCTGCTTCAAGATTTATTTTTGAGGAAGAAATTATAATATTCCTGAATTAAACTCCCCGATGGTTTTGATAGTTGAACAGTAGTTCACTTAGGTGTCTATGTTTTTTTATCTGTTTACATTACAGACGTAGATAGTTTTTCGCTTTAAGAATCCTAAGTCATCTATGCTTATCTTGAGTTATTTCTTTCCGATTATCTGCATGCAGCTCTATTCCATCTTTGTGGATTCGATATATCCACCCGGTTTTTGCTCTTCCACATGGTATTTTGCCTCACTCATCTTAACATCTTTGCCTCCACATCATGTGATATTGATTGACTAGTTTCTGTAGGCAGCTCTTAATTTGGTCTTTATTCTTCCTGTGTTCATTTTCTGATCCCAGATCGCTCCGGTTATTGTGTGGAGGATTTCTCTCTCAAATCATTCAATTCTCTTTTCTAGTTTTAGGGTTAGTCTCAAGGTCTCACAGCCGAATGTTGGAACTGGCTTCATTGTAGCACTGTACACCCTTAATTTGAGATTTCTAGAGATTTGACAACAATATTTTTATGTTTCTATTCAGAAATTGTATCGATGAATTCTAAAATTCTAAAATTACTGTTGGTAGGTTTTGGTATTATTTATAACTTTGAGTCATAAATTTCTCAATTATTCTGTTGTTGTTTTTTACGGTATATTGATTTCTTACTTGACAAATTGTGAAAACAAGGTTTTTCAAGAAATGAATGTTCTTAAATGACGCATATTCAATGAAATAATGAATCAATATTATCCATGATTATGCTTATAACTTATATAAAGATATAAAGACTAAAATGTACTCTTCAATTTCAGGTACTGTTTGTTGATTGATCCCCAATCGCAGGCAAACAGGTGGATTAAGAAAACTTATGCGGACAATCTCATTGTAATACGGTTATCTCGAAATTACATGCCGTTGGTTGAACGCGCATTGCAGGAAGGAAAGACCTTGCTACTGGAAGATGTTGGGGAGTCTATAGATGGTGCATTAGATCCGCTCATTAAAAAACAATTTTTCAATGAAGGTAAATATTTATAAATGCACTTTTTCTTTTGCAATTGGCATTTGGTAGTCGCCTTCACCAACAGACACTCCTTGCGTTACAATTCAGTTTTCTAATTATCTAGGACTAAATTATCGAATGATAAAAAACTAGCTTTATTTCACGTAAAATATTTATAGTAAAAAGTTCACATTATTCGAACCGCTAACATATTTTTATATGAGAAAAAAAAAACATGATGAAGTAAAATCTAGATGTAGCAAACAATTTTAGTGTGTGTTTAAGTTTTGAATTACGTATTATTCTGTTTTCACTTTCATTTAGCATTTAAATAATTTTATTAATCAAAATACTCTCAATATATTTCTGCGTGGAAGACTGGGCGATCATTTTTTAGTTTCTCTGGGTGACAATATAGAAGAAATGATCATTGGTCTCCTCAACGGTTTATCAAGGAAAAAATAGCTATGGATATTTCGAGAAGTGATACATATTCAGGTAGCAGATAATTTCAAATAAAGAAACAAGAAAGAGTGAAAGGACTGATTATAAAATTCATAGTGACACCATTAAAAGAGGGGGTACACGTACGGTGAATGGACGATACGCGTTGTTCTCTATAATGCTTAAGTATTGCCTGGAAAAACATGAAGACGTTGGAGACTTCGGAATCCATGAATATGATTCATATAATGGAGAACGTGGTGGCCAGAGATCTGACAAAATATGATAAAGCTTGGTAACAGAGATTATTTGAAGGAACTGGTTTGTGACAATGTTGAAGAATAAAAATAAATAAGTGTCCTTTTTAACTAAGTATCGCCGGTCAATTTTAGTAACAGTTTATTTTAATAAGTAGTTACTATTTAGGAATCGTGTCGTTCGTTTATTTAAAAAAATCACCAAGTGTGTTTTACAATAAATTAGTTTTTTACCTATGTATTATGTATTGGTCATTGGTTCTGCCCTAGTCTGCATTATTCGTTAGATTTTTGTTCAAATCTTAATCTACTTATTACGTTATTTTTTTGATACTGTATAGATGCCGACTAATTTCAAATATAAGAGGTCCTCCTCTCGGGAAAATATATGATCAACATTTCTGTACACTCACAATAATAAAATTTTGAAAATTACTCCACAACTTGAGTGCAAAACGAGCAACACTAAAGAAAACGAAACACTTCATCATATATTATTTAAATGCCCAATTTATAGTAGTTTAAGGTTAAGAATTCACCAGGGTAGAAATATCTAAGCCAACCAATACAGAAGATATGAAAATATTATATTTTATTATCTCAAATTAAAGAGAATTGATAGGATAATCTGAAATATTGTCCTCTGCATATGATGGCAAAAATTACATATTGCACATGGGCATGTAATCTGTCCGGGTCTTTTTTTTTTGTTGTTCTCTTAGGTAGAGGGGTAATCTTTTAATTTAATTTTAAAACATAGTTCAGTATTAATATTTTTAAAAAAATTGTATTTATTTATGTATGTCGTTGACAATTTTAGGTTTTATATTAATTTGATAATTTGAACTCTTCTAACTTTTACCGAATATGATTTTTAATCTGTCTTTAAGAGTGTTATAATATATGTAATGTAGTATAAAAAGGAATGAATTCGTATTTCCATAAGGATAATAATGTTTGTTATTTCGAGATAGACTACATTTGTACAGAGTTCATCCCTTAAAACAAATAAAAATTGAATTGAATTGAATTTTATTGTTTAGTCTGTGGTACAGAGTCATTTTTCATCAAATTATTAACACCCGCGTAAAACTTCGTAAATGGCTTGATCTTATAGTAACCTGCAAATTTTTTATCGAACGAAATTCTCAGAAATAGGGCTTTTTCTCGTTAAATAAATTAATTTAATTAAGTAATAAAAACTCATAAATATCAATTTTCATTCCACTTGAATCTTAAAATAATTTGATCACAAAATCGAAAAAAAGCAGCCTACAAAAATATTTGACAGGTTATTTTGCCTCGATATTTTGACATGTTGGAAGGGGAGGTTACTCAAAACGCCCCAATATTTTTGTAGGCCACCTTTATTCTCAAAATTGTGATCAAATAATCTTATAGCCCTGGAACCAGTGCCCAAAAATCGACCTGATTGCAGGCGAAGGTTTGATTGTAAATTACAAAAGTATATGTTATTCTGTGTGAAATGAACCTTGTCTGACGTTTCAGAGCCGCTGCTTTAAAAAATGGCGGCTATTTAAAGAATATTAGGCCAGTAATTTGAGGATCGAAACGGGAATCCATTGCGAAAAATGTGAGAAAAGTTTTTATTTTTTTAACTTGCATATATGGATTTAGACATGTGAAAAACGGAATTATGAACGCGGAATACCAAGGAAAAACTTTTTAAAGCCAAGTCAGATTTTTTCGACATTTTTTGCCTATAAATCCTAAACGATGCAACAAAGAAAAAAAAATGTATTTTTTAATAAATTAAAGAACGTTAAATTGTTCGTCAAACGAGTACAAAAACCTTATAATTTGGGTACGAGGTAAGGTATAAAACCGGGATCAACCAACGCTGATTTTTACCAAATTTGTCAAAAACTGAGACAAATTACTATAAATGGCCCTGCACCTTGGAAATGAGTTATCTTAGAGGGAAAACCCATAGAGTCAAAGTTGTAGAGCATCAAATTTTCCGTCCATTGAGTACCAATATTTGTATTGTAGGCCAATTACATATCTTGAATCGGGGTTCGTTATTCCTTTATGAAATTCGGTATCTTTTGATACATCCTTTACCAAAATCCTTTGCTGTTGAGAGGTGGAAAAGAGGCTTATGCTGCATGTAACAGACTCTAGACAAATAGAATAGACACCCATACTGTTCAAATATTGAAAATCACGTTTATCTTCATTACGAATTTCTAACTATTGGGGGATTACCTATTTTGTTTGGAGTAAGTGGCCTACATTAAATTATTTGGTAGTCACTGGATGCAAAATGTGATGCTCTACAACTTTGATTCTATGGATGGTAAAAATCAGCATTGGTTGATCGCAGTTTTATACCTCACCTCGTACCCAAATTATAAGGTTTATGTACTCGTTTGACGAACAATTTAACTTTCTTTAATTTATTAAAGAATACATTTTTTTTCTTTGTTGCATCGTTTAGGAGTTATAGGCAAAAAATGTCGAAAGAATCTGACTTTTTTGGCTGTAAAAAGTTTTCCCTTGGTGGTCCGCGTTAATAATTCCGTTTTTTACATGTCTAAATCCATATACACAAGTTAAAAAAATAAAAACTTTTCTCACATATTTCGCAATGGATTTTCCGTTTCGATCCTCAAATTACTGGCCTATTATTCTTTAAATCAGGCGCCATTTTTTAAAATAGCGGCTCTGGAACGGCAGACAAGGTTCGTTTTACTCAGAATAACATATACTTTCGTAATTTTTATTCAAACCTTCGCCTGCGATGAGGTCGATTTTTGGGCTCTGGCTCCAGTTCTATTATGATTCAAGCGGAAAGTGGATTTTCATGAGCTTTTAGAGCATAGTTAAACAGATGAAGTTTTCTTATATCCAGATTGAAAACGCGGCAATTCCTAGAATTTTGGCTAAACAAAAAGTTGTAGGCCACAATGAGATGAAACTATCCACGAAAATTAAGGTGGATGTTCTTAATTTGATTAAAATTACGGTTCATAATTGCAATTCATTTACAAATATTACTTAATCCTATATAGTTCAATATTTTTCTGATGTTATATTTACACTTTAATTGAATTTTATTTTTTTTAATAGGGAAAATTAGATTCATTGCACTCGGGGACAACGTAGTATTAGTGCATAAACGATTCCGGTTCTATGTAACGACTAAGCTAATGAATCCGCATTTCATGCCAGAAATTTTTAACCAGTTGTCAGTAATCAATTTCACACTGACGATTGAAGGATTGACGGATCAAATGCTCAGCACCATCATAGCAATGAAGCAGTAAGTTTAATTATATTTAACAGGGTTTACAATCAATAATTATTTTTCAGCGAAATCGTAATTAATAATTGTTTTTTAATTAGATACTATTATAAATGTCCTTAATTGCGACAGGTTGTAATATATCTCAATAAAGATGGTTAAAAAAAAATTTAAAAAAACAAGCCTGATTCATAAATAAAAATTTAAATCAATCTTCGGCGTTTATTGATTCATTTAAAAGTAGTGATCACTGAAGTAGTGATACGGTTTTACATAGATAATAATAATGATTAAATTGTGATAACAAAAAATGTTGTTCAGAAAATAAAAATCATCTAGCAAAGATGTTCTGTTGCTAATAGTTGACAATATTCTCCACATACTACTCCAAACTCAAAATATATCATAGAGATTACAAAAAAATTATATTTCTGATTTAAAAAAGTATTACTGAAGAATTTTTATTATTGTTAATTGTAAACATATAATGTCACAAATAATGATAAGGATATCATTGTTACCACTTATGATCAATAATTAAAATCGATCTTAATAAAAATCATAGTTTTTATTTTATTTTATTTTATCAAAATAAAAGTTTCTAAAAATTCCAAATAAAAATTTTGATCAGATTTTTTTAATTATCTAATTCAAAAACTGATTTTAATATTAATCATTAATAAAAATAAATAGATTTATTTATTTATGAAATTTATTACAATTATGATAAATGAAAATACAAGCAGTAAACGTGAACAGAAAAACAAAATATACGGAAAATAACAAACTTGACAAATAAAACTAGAAGGACGTTTTTCCAACCTCTTTTCTTTTTTTTTTATAAAAAAACACCAGTTGATCATTATATAAATACATTGTATAAAAAATAATCTATATTTGATGTTTCTAATATATATATATATATATATATATATATATATATATATAGAATAGAATAGAATAGAATAGAAAATAGAACTTTATTCTGGGACTAAGTCCCCTTAGAATAACAAAGATGAATTAATACAAAATAAAATACCAATCTATATATATATATATATATATATATATATATATATATATTATATATATATATATATATATATATATATATATATATATATACATATATATATACATACATACATATAAACCTAAATTTTTTTCAGTCCTGAGCTAGATGCTAAACGTAAAAGTTTAATCACGGAAGGAGCTCAAAACAAGGCATTATTAGAGAATTGTGAGATAGATATCTTGACGTGTCTACAAAGAAAAGATTTACTAACTCATCCCGATACAATCATTATATTGGAACGTTCTAAGGTAATATTTTAGCCGTATTATAATTATATATGTGATTTCTTTTGTTTATTTGTTTTATATTCCTTAGCAATATAAAATATAGCAGGTAAACAAAGGTAATAGACACATTAAGAGAAATTTTCAACATTAACCATTGGTATACCGAGTTGAAGTGGGAAGTAAAGAGTTTGTTTTATAGAACCTGGTCTATCAATATCTCGCATGCAATGAAGGCAAAAAGGTTAAGATGGGCGGGCCGTGAAGTCGGAGCAATCCTTCATGAAGTATCTACACAACAATGAAGGCCTCAATAGTAGAAAAAAGACCACGTGAAAGTGCTAAAACTAATGTGCTTTTAACATAGAATAAAATATAAAAAAACATAGTATTTTTGGGAAATGTGCCAGTAATAGATATTTATCAGCTTCATTAACGGCAATAAACTCTATACACCCAAAAGAGAGTGCAAACATGAATAGATTTGAAGCTACGAAGAACACCTAAGACGTTGATGCCTGAACCTCAAGCTGTATCAGGCCACAGTTGAATTTTTATTTGATATTTTAATGGAGTAAGGCTGGATGTTTGTTTCAGAAAAGTTCTCATCATTTATCTTTAGGGGATATGTTGGAAATTTTGATTTATTCATCTGTAGTTTCCCATTTCCATGTTTAAAACTCTGGAGAATTTATTTTTTAATTATATAAAAAAAAAACCATTGACCCCAAAACCTGGATGTCAATATATGTCTATTACTGGTACAAAATACTCTGTCACACAGGTAGATCTATGGAGGAGGGCTCCCCTCCTCCCCCCCCTCTCCAAAACGGTCAAATATAACCATGTTTTATAGAAAAAATATTAAAAACTGTCTCTTAATGTATTATTTTTCGTGTAATTACATTTAATAGGACTTCAGTAATCACTTAAACACCATGTCATATAGGTAGTTAGTTTCTTACTTTTTTTTTCAAATTTATTATCGTTATATATATATATGAAAAAAAAAGCTTTCGGGTTGAAGCCCCCCCCCCAATTAAATCCTGGATTCGCTAGTGCTCTTTCAGATACTTCCTAAGTTTTTCATCAATATCAAACTAATTGACAGTATATAAAAAAAGGAAATTGGTAAAAGACTAAATTTGTTCTCAATTAAACCCACTTGCAATGATCCACCGCCAGTTCTCATTAATGAAATGAAATGAAATAAAAAAAAATAGTTTTATTCAGAGACTAAATTCCTCTAAGATAATAATAACATGGCACATATCATTGGTCCATTAGTCTGGTTTGACAGAATACAAAGAGGTCATTTGAATGTTAATTTCAATTGTTATCGCAATCATACCTTAATAACAATAGTCAACACTTTAACACTACCAAATTTTATATGGTTTACATGTATACAAAGAAAAACTAAATAAATAAATTAAACAAAATCAAATGAAACTTGTCGATTAATTGTTCGTGAGAAGTTGTAATTACAGAATCAAATAAGTAATACGGAAGTTTGAATATGAGTGGTGGAATAAGAGTTGTTTGAAGGAATTTAAGGATGAACGTTGCCGTATGGGGATAGTTAAAGAATTCCAGAAGGAGGAAGCACGAATGACGAAGGATTTGCTGAAGGGTGTAGTTTTATGAGAGGGGATATGTAAATCAATAGGTTGAGATTTAGTATTACGAGAGTTGATAGAGGAGCGTAGAGTGAGATAGAGAGATAGATCCATGATATTGGGAGGATTTTTGGTTCTTAGGACTTGGAAAAGGAAAAAATCAAGAAGGAATTGTCGTCGAGAAGTAGGATATATATAGGAAGTAGGATCTTGTGCATTCGGACCCTCACCGGAGTATGTCAACAATCACAGAGGACCAAAAGAGGGGTGCCGACAGGCTCTCTCCGGACAAATCCTTTGTTCTGCTGGGGGTCAGTCAACTTTGTCAGCCTCATGCAAGCTTTGATGATGCGAGAAACGTTTTCTTAATTTTTTTTTCCGATACCGTAATTTATACTGAATGGATACTGCATCAAATCGTAATATTTTTCTTGAAAAGTTAAATGCATTAATTCCGGGTAAACAAGACAATTGTTTTATTTTTCTCAAGAGAAGTACTCTAAAATACTTTCTGAAGTGGCTTCTACTAAAGCTAAGTGCAACACACCGTTGGATTACATACGCTTAAAACGTTTTAAAAATTAATGATGAAGAGATCGCTTTAATGATGTACCACTAAAACCAGTGGGGACAAATATACAGTATTCTGTTACCAATGAAGAATAGATTCAGTATACTCTATGAAACTCACACCAGTATAGAATACGGAGGAAGAACACGTATGCTTAAAGAGTTGCAATTTAAATAAGTTGTAATGTTGTATTTAAATTTATGCTAACAGTGCACCCAAGAAAGGTATTGTTGTGAAACAAATGGTCAGTTCTGAGTTAAACTCAAGATGTTAAGTTGATCTGATAGATCTGCAGTCAAACAGAGATGGCGAATATAACTTCATAATAGTATATAATAGTATCAAGATCATTTAACTAAGTTTGTCCAGCAGCGATCACTGAAAACTAAAAGAGCTGAAGAAGTAGCGTATCACGTTCTTTCAATATTTTTAACATTTGGTGCACCAGCAATATTTTATTTTAACTAATTATGTCCCCTCGCGCGGGCTCATTACCGCGTATGGGGAGCGTCCCACGGGTGGCGGATGTGGGGATGGTCGGTGGAAATTCCTTGGAAGTTCCTCCCGGCTAAGTCCGATGGACTCGCTGACCAACAATGAGAGGGGCCCTCCAGACTTTCTGGAGAGAGGGGCCCACCAGACTTGCTGGAGGGTGTGACGTAGGATTGAACGCCCTACTCACATATCTTTAGTTCACCAAACACCGCAAATAGTCATGGATCTCCCTAAGGTAAAACGCTCATTATCCGGAAGTAAACTAGTCACCCGTTCGGGTCTCCGGGTGGGGACTGCTTTAGGGGATTCACGGCGCAAGTTGAAATATAGGGATTTAAATATTGGTACGTGGAACGTAAGGAGTTTAAACACAGCAGGGGGGCTAAAATCGGTCGCGAATGAGGTAAATGGGTACAATTTGGATGTCGTGGCTCTGCAAGAGGTTCGCTGGCCAGGGGAGGGCTCGATGAGGGAAGGAAAGTACACTATTTGGTACGGAGGAAGCGGGAATCATTGTTTGGGTACCGGGTTTCTAATTAGTAGTAGATTACTATCCGCTTTGAGGGACGTACAATTCTTTAGTGATAGAATTTCGGTAGCCACATTTCAGGGACGTTGGTTTAAAATCGCATTAATAAACATACATTGTCCGACCGAAGACAGTGACGATGAAGTCAAAAGTGAATTTTACGATAAACTCGAATGGGTTTATGATAAACTACCGCGAAACTACATGAAAATGATTATAGGTGACGCGAACGCAAAGGTAGGAAGGGAAGAAGTTTATATTCCGACGATTGGTAAAGAAAGTTTGCACGAATATAGTAATGATAATGGGATCCGTCTGATAAACTTTGCCATCTCGAAAAACCTGATAATTAAAAGCACGACGTTTAAACATAAGGATATTCATAAATATACTTGGACATCACCGGATTCGCGAGCACGAAATCAAATCGATCATGTCTTGATACAACATAGCTGGCAAAGCAGTATAATTAATGTACGGTCTTATCGCGGAGCAGAATGTGGGTCGGATCATGAATTAGTAATCGCGAAACTTCGACAAAAACTTAATATAAAAAAGAGAAAAGAAAACCGTTTCGATTTTGTGAATTTTAATTTGGACAAATTAAAAAATCCATCAATTAGAAACCAATTCGAGCTAGATGTTAAGAATACGTTTGAAGCTTTAGAGCTTCCTGACGAGGACCACGAGGATATTGACAAGTTATGGGTAGAGATCAGGGATAATATTAAAGCGGTCGGTAACTCGTGTCTAGGAAAAAAGGAAAATAAGAATAACAAACCGTGGTTTGATGAAGATTGCTTAAACATGTGCGAAAAACGAAAAACCGCTAAATTAAAAGCTCTAAATAATCCTAGCGAAGATAATCTGAAATACTTCCGAACCTCAAAGAACGAAACGACAAAATTGCTCAAAAATAAAAAAAGAGAGTATCTTAAAAATAAAATAATTGAAATAGAAACTAATAAAATCGAAAATAACGTAAGAGACATGTACAAAGGTATAAACAGATCACGTAAATGTGTAGGGTCCGTAACATCTGGAATTAGGGATGATAATAACAATATTCTGACCGATCCGGTTGACATATTGAATAAATTTAAGGACCACTTTGACAATATTTTAAATACGGGAAATTATGATCTGTGTCCTCCTTCTGAGTACCAGAGTGCTGAACCGTTGATAGAAGGACCAAGTAAAGAGGAAGTTGAAGAAGCTATCGGAAAATTAAAATCTTATAAAGCAGCGGGAACCGACAATATTCCTACTGAACTAATTAAGGCATGCGGGGAAGCTGGAGTTTCTAAAATACATCGGTTGGTTAAAAAGATCTGGGTGAATGAGAAATTACCTGAAGAATGGAAAGAATCTATTCTTATTCCGATTCACAAAAAGGGTCCGAGGACGGATTGTAATAACTATCGAGGAATTTCACTCCTTCCGGTATGTTATAAAATATTCACTTTAATCTTAACCAGTCGAATCACGGAATACGCCGAGGAAATTATCGGAGACTACCAATGCGGATTTATACGGAATCGTTCGACTATTGATCAAATATTTTCTTTACGGCAAATATTAGAGAAAAAAATGGAGTACAACGGTATTGTTCACCAGCTGTATATAGATTTTAAAAAGGCTTACGATTCTATTGACCGCCAGAAACTGTATAATATTCTAATCGAGCAGGGGATTCCTAAAAAATTAGTAAATCTAGTCAGGATGTGCTTGACGGAGATACTCAATAAAGTTAGAATCGGTAATAATTTGTCCGAAAAATTTGAGGTGAACTGTATCCGAGTAATATGATTGAGATAATTTCATCGCGGCGAATCAAATGGGCTTGTAAAGTGATTGGGCTTAGTAACGAGAGAATTCCTAAAAAGTTAATATTTGCTGTGCCGAATGGTAAGCGTCCGAGGGGTAGACCGAAGCGAAGGTGGGAAGATTACATTAAAGCCGATCTGAAGGGACTGGGTTTGGACGGCGAACGGTGGAGGGAGGTGTGTAATAAGCGATTGGTGGTGTCGGCATCGAACCTTCGGGTTCGCTAAGCCTTTTTATTATATTATTAACTAATTATGTCCTTGTTCTTATCCCTGTCAGCATTAGAAACACTCCAAATTAAACAGTGTACAGCAACATGTACAACAAAACTATGAGTTTACAAATTTTAAAAATTTAGATGTATGTTTCATGGTTTTGAAATGTGTCTCGATAAGGCGAGAAGTAGTTATTTTAGATGAATCCAAGAAAAATACGATAACTCTAATATTTAAGTTTTTACATGTAAAAGTTCAAATAAATTTTAAACATGTCAGCTACTATTGCATTTACCCTACTGAGAAATTCAGCCATTTCTTTTCCGTCACTCGTCAGACAGCTCTGAATTGCTGATGCAGCATTTTAGCACAAAGCTCGTCGAACATTATCCACTTAATGAATTATTTTAAGTTTATACGATTTCTCTAAATATAGGGAGAAACCTTACTTGCAGAGGCAACTGATATGGTATTTACATAATTATTATTAATTTGATATTGATTAAATATTATTAATAATTTGATCAACTTAATAATGTTGCAGAACACAGCTGAAGAGATCGCGTTGAAGGAACGAGAATCGGCCTTAGCAAGAAATGATATAGATCATCTAAAAGGTCTTTACCGACCCGTAGCCCACAGGAGTTCTTTCCTCTATTACACTATTGTAGACTTACCTCAGGTGGATCCTATGTATCAGTTTTCATTAGAGTGGTTCATGACAATATACCAAAACGTTATAAAAAAACTGTAAGTAGTTTAATAACTTTATGTCAAATTAATAAAGCCGTAGTTGTCTTATTATTATTATTATTTTATATAAGGCTTTTAACTAGACGCCAAAATTTGAAATATTAATTATTCCAAATGATTATTTAGATCGATCATTAACTAACAACCTTTATTTTTTTATAATTTAATATCTATGGAGTTAACAAAATGAGATAACGCTTCCAGAACAGAATTAGAGTTTGTTATTATATCAATATAAGATGGATTGTTTTAATTATATTGATGAAATGATATATTTCTGTAGCATATTTAATGGATGACATCATTATATGTTTCGGGTCATCCTTAACTTCACACAATTCGCAATAGTAATAGGTACCTTAATCTGCACATTGTTATTAGCAAACCAGGGTTACACTGTTACCAGTGGGCAGTGAGATTTATAAAACATCCCCTTTTCTTATTTTTCATTAATTCCCTGCCATTAGGTCTTGATAGAAGTTTTCAATTCATTTATGATATCTTAAAAAGGTATAAGAAATTTATCAACTTTTCATTTTGTCCCTTCCTTCGCTAAATGATCGACTGGTGTATTGCCTTTAATACCTTTTTATTATTTCTGTTTCTGTTAGTTAAGGAATCATTTATCATAATTTTTTTTTTAATTGAACTATTTAATAAAAAAAAAAAAATGAAAAATGTGTATTGTGCTAACTGAAAATAATCTCGGAAACTCCGCCAACAACACAATGTATCAATAAAAATGTTAATATAATTTTTTGTGCTCCAAAAAAAATAAATACAAAAAATCAAATAGATGTCGCCAGTTTTCTCTTACTCGTCCCACTGTGCGGTGGTGCTGTGACACGCGTTAGTCCGTTCGGCCACCCCGCCTCCAAAAAATTACCTCCCCGGCGGGGAATCGAACCCCGGTCTCCCGTGTGACAGGCGGGGATGCTTACCACTATACCTTTTTCTCGATTTTGTGATCAAATTATCTTTTGTAAATGAAAAGTTGTAGATGTCGATAAGATGAAACCATTCACTATGTTACGGACGGATGATTATAGTTTGATAAAGAGGGGTCTTTACCGACCCACTCCATTTTCAGATTGTGGCTTGCCAATTTAAGTCTATGATTTTTCACGCAGCATACGGAAACGTAACGATTCGATTTTCTATTTTTTTATAGGATATTAATAATCATGTAAGTTTTTACATGAATTCTAAGCACGTCAATCGGCCAAGATATGTCCAGTTTAATGTTTTAACTTCCAAAATAGGGTTTCGTCTTAAATCCTAAAGCAAAAAAAAAAAAAAAAAAAAACGTATGTTTTCTCTCTGAAGAAGAAATTTTAAAAAATCTCTGAGAGAGTTTGGACCAGGTGAACCTTTCCAGTTCCAGTTCGTCTTCTCTAAACCTCTCTTCTGGAATGCATCTCGCACACCTTCTTCTCAGGAGATTCTGGATCTTCCTCTCGATCTCCCTCACTGCACGCGAGTCTCATACGTCTTCCTTGCGACTCTGTTCCGATCCACGGAGAAGGTGCCCAAACCATCTCAACTTATATTCTTCTATTATGGTTTCGAGATAGGCCTGGATTGTAGTATTGCGAATTATGTCTCGTCTAGTCTTTTCCTCCGCCATTCGTAGGTATCGCATCTCTAGAGCCTGGATCTGGCTCCTGTGTTTCGAACTAAGTGTCCAGGACTCGGAAGAATACGTCAGTCTAAGAAGGAATACTGATCTGATATTAATAATAATAATAATAATAGGATAAAATAAACAAATCTGAAATATCAAGAAAGTATACATTATTAATAACAAATCATTATAAGTTGATAGTTTCTTTATTTTAAGGTTTATTATTTTCAGTTAATTTTGTTTTAAAATTTAATACAATTTTGTTTTCAGGATTTCGGGAGTCTATCCCCAAGTTGAATTGTTCCTTACAGATTTAGAGAAGACGTTTAAGTTAACCCTTTTCCGTAGTGTAGTTACATCGTTATTTAACAAGGATAGAATAATGTACTCTTTTATGTTTACAATTTCAACTATGCAGTAAGTTTTTATTGTCTATATCTATTATTATATTTTTAATAATTCTTCTTCATCATCTTCAAGTGTGATATTATTTACTAAATGTAAAATGTAACAAAGATATAATCAGTGAATGTTATGTACATACTATTATTAGAATATTATAGCTTGTGAATGAATTGAGATGATAGGTTATTCTTAATGGTTATAGTTATCAGAAGAGATTTAGTAAATTCAAACCAAATATGCAAGACATATGCAGTGAATTTTTCACTTCCAATTTTGTCTTAAATCCTAAAGCCAAAAAAAAAAAAAAAAAATCATATGTTGTCTCTCTGAAGAAGAAATCTAAAAAAATCACTGAACCTCTCACGCAGCACTCCCCACCTCTTTTTTCCCTTTTACACTTTTTTCTACTATTTTTTTTTCTTTTTATTTGTTACCTAGCTTGCTAACTTTAAATAACTAAACTTCAATAACCTTAATAACTTTAACCTTAACTTGAATCTTACAACTTTTTAATTTTATCCAATTCTTAATATCCATAACCAAAATATATAATAATAACAAGGAATAAGCACAATTGAAGAGAATAAATCAGGGTTTTTTTAAAAGTTTCTTTGAAACATTTTAGGAAAAGAGTTCTGAGGAACTTTTTTGCAAAAAAGTTTCAGGTTTATGTTAAAAGTACAACGTATTTATTCAAGTTCTTCAGGTAAACGAAATATAAACAATAACTGGGCTTAGATTAGTGTTATAATTTATCTTAAATGGATTACACATGATTGTAATGTGTAGTTTGAGTAGCTAAGAATAAAAGTCATTTTTTTTATCGGCTTTACAGCGAAATCGAATGTTTTGTTTTTTTTTTAAATAAAAGTTCTATAAAACCTTTACTTGAAAAGTTACGACGTAAAAGGTTCTACTTCCAAAAGCATTGAAAACGATTGACAACAAAAATTCCAGTAATGCCGAAACTTTTAGAAAATAAAAGTTTTTTTATCTGTTTCAAGCCCAGGAAAAATAGTTTATTTTTCTGCTTCAGTTCACTTATTGTCTAAAATTCAAGCTTTCTATTTATCAAGGTTTTTTTTTTTCTCCAAATAACAAAGTATATCATTTGGTTCTAATTAAAACAATTTACATTAGTGGACATTTATCTGTATAGAATAAATCAGAATGCTGGACACATATGTTAACTATTGGCTTCGATAAATAGAAAAAAGAAATAAATAACTTGAAATATATTAATTTTCAAATAATTTTATATTCAACAAACTGTCGAGTTTTTTTTTCATTACAGAACGTTATATAACAGATCATTTATAACATGGATTTAGTTTTTAGATGAAAAAAGAATTTCTTCAATCGTCTTAAGGTAGATACTTATTTTCTGAGGTATGTAAGTAAGATTTGATAACAGTATTTTTTCTCCCAACAATTATTCTTTATTATATTATGACGTTTCGGGACCTACTTTCATATTTCATCTTCAGACAGTAACTCATACTAATATCCTCTTATTTTTTTATAAGATTTGTCATCATATTTTTTTTATTTTTATATTGTCATCATTCATTCCTTGAATTATTTTGCGGACTCGTCTAGGGATACCCTAGTCAGATACTGTTCAGTATCTGTATGATAAATTCTATAAAAAAAATAAGAGGATATTAGGATGAGTTACTGTCTGAAGATATGAAAGTAGATCCCGAAACGTCATAATATAATAAAGAATAATTGTTGGGAGAAAAAATAATGTTATCAAATCTTACTTATATGCCTCAGAAAAAATAATATTAAATCTTATAAGTCTTATCTGTCTCACCGTGGACCTTAACATTCCCCTGCCAGTTTATGAATGCCCTTCGTAAGTTAATATCTGAATCTTACAGATAGGACAAGGACGTAATGAAACATTATCAGACTATACTATTTCTACATTAAAATTTTACACTTGTTAACAGTTAACACGGGTGTTACGGTATTTAATTTAGAAGAATCGTTTCCGCAACAAACTTGCCGGATGCTCAATGGAGACGGTAGGGTTCACAAAAAAAAAAATAAAAAGATAATTAATGAAGAGTAAATTAAATATTACTAACTATCTAACAGGCGCCACGTTATTTAATTGGTTGAATTTGGAAAATAGCGAAAACCATTAAAATAAAAAAAATAAAAAATTAATTAAAAAAAAAAAGATTTGTACAAGGAGTGAGCTACAAACTCGGAACCTATGGGTTTAAAAACACATGTTAATTAACCTCAAAAACCTTTCGAACCTTCTTACTCGGTTAATACTCATTTTCCCTAATCCCTTGAATAGGGTTTTACAATTCCTCCTTATTAAACCTTAAAAATATATATATATATATATATATATATATATATATATATATATATATATATATATATATATATATATATATATATATATATATTACATAAAATGTAAAAACAAACTGAAGAAAAAGAAGAAAATAAAACTGGCTATTATTAATACTAATGATGAATTCACTTATTTCCATTGATTTAAATAACTGTTAAAGGAAATGAAAATTATGAACAAGAAATTATATTTATAAGAAAACAAAGGAAATATAATTAACTTTAATTAACCAAAAAAAAAAAAGAATATAAAATTATTATAGAACTAAACATTAACTTGGACTATACAATAAACCAATTACTAATATTTAAAGAAAAAATAGATAAGAAATAAAAACTTATGTATACATATTTACAAAATCTCAATACCGAACTTTGTCCAATTGGCACATTGAGTTATCTGAGGAAGCGGGAACTTATTACAGCTAGCGTCATCAGGGTCTCCCCACCTCCTCAAGCTGTGAAAATGTTCATTCACCAACTTGTAAAATCAAGCGGCACTCGTCGCTGATAATCATAGGTTCTTGGAGAGGAAAAGAAAAATCTGGTATACACCATAAAACTAAATTATTTCACACACAAAAATCCTTAGCTTGTCTCTCCACTCGCGAAGTTCTGCCATCTATCTCCAAACTGTCTTTTGTTTTTCTCCCTCATATGTTAGCTGCTATACTGACTTAAAATTTATTATAAACTAATACTTATTATTAAAACTAATACTAATTACTTAATTTTATTCAACCCTCTTCGAGGTAATAAAAAAAAAAACATTACTTTACGAACTATTTCTTTTTTTTTTTATTTTACGGGTTTCGCCACCAATTAACTATTAACTGTTCAGTTCACTTATTGTCTAAAATTCAAGCTTTCTATTTATCTAGGTTTTTTTTTTTTTCTCCAAATAACAAAGTATATCATTTGGTTCTAATTAGAACAATTTACATTAGTGAACATTTATCTGTATAGAATAAATCAGAATGCTGGACACATATGTTAACTATTGGCTTCGATAAATAGAAAAAAAAAAAAAAAGAAATATTTTCAAATAATTTTATAATTAACAATCTGTCGAGTTTTTTTTTTTATTACAGAAAGTTATTTAACAGAACATTAATAAAACGTATTTAGTTATTAGACTCTTTAATATTTGAGGTTACCATCGTTTTGGGAGATTGAAAAAAAGAAATGAGAATTAGAATCTTCTAAAAGTGAATAATAAAAAGTTCGGAAAAAATTGGCATATTTATAATAATAAAAGGATGTCTAATGCCTATATTCTGCTCTCATAAATTTGGTTCCGTCAGATTCAATATTTAAGGAAGGTGTCGAGTCGGACACACGGGCATGATGTTCCCCATAATCTCAGACATAATTAAATCATTAATGTCTTTGGAGTTGCAGCAACTAAAAAAACTAAATCAATCAAACTAAAAAAAAAATTCTATTTTATATTTATTTATTAAAAATGTTGTTGATGCCAACATGAATATTTTTATTGTTTACTTTCACCATATCATAATATGAGGGTTCAATTATATTTTAATTATGAATAACATAGTTCGTACACAAAGACGTCCCAGCGACGATGTTTTTGGCCAGTTCCGGGTCAACCCGCCTCTCGTCGTATCACTTAATACCGAAGGCAAAAAGAAAACATTACAAGTTCAGTATGGCTGCTGCCAGCAATGGGTCTGGGACTGACCCTATGACGTTCTCCGTCCCGTCGCAATGTACCTGGCAAACCCAATGGTTTCATCTCACCAGGTCAGGTTAATGCAACCACAAACATGTAGCTTATCAGTATGACATATTGTAATGTATATAATAAAAAAAAAAATAAAATAAAAAAAAAAAAAAATCTCACCAGGTTGTGACGGCGACTTCCCGCTTTTGGGACATTATCCTACAAGAGAAATCACGTCAGCTGCAACACGCAATATGAGCCGGCTGGAGGTGAATTTGTGTATTTTAATTTAGAAGAGCTTTAAGGTGAGTGGCGCCCCTCTAAAAACAGTTAATGACACAACGGATATCAGATGTTATCATCAGGAAATAAAAACACTATTTTATCAATTAAACACATCACAATGGGGTTGAACTCTGTCTTAAATACTACTTTTTGCAATTCCACTTCAGGGCACTTAATAGTATAATGGCTAGTATCTTACTTTACAATACTAAATTGTCAGGTTCAGCACCGGGTTTTCATCATTCTCTTTTGTTGTATATTAAATACTATAATTTTAGATTTATATAAATATAAATTATGGCCTTGAATAATATAATTTTAAAACAATTAAATTAACATCTAGGTTAATGCATTTTCATTAAATACTAATAATTAATCATTTTAATAACAAAACAGCCCTAGAACATTGTAAATTTAATTCATCAGTTTGAGGTTGTTTTCCTTTTGTTTAATGTTTGTAGTAATATTTTATTTTTCTCATTCATTATTATTTTGTATCAAGAGAAATAGTATAATTTATTCTTTCATTTATTAATTTGTTAGCATGTTCATTTCATTTATTATTTTCAATATACACATAGATTTTCTGCTATTCCGTTTTTTTTATACATATTTATCCTCAATGGATTTCTTTTTAATATTTGTAAAGGTTTAAAATTAATTAATTAATAAATCAATATCCAGTGCCTATAGATTTGATAGAGCAGATTTGGTGGTTCACTTTTGAACGCCCGCTGCCTTCACAAATGTTTCATTTCTATTTGTGCGTTATATCTAACTGCGACACATAACCAACTTCTCAATTACATTGTAAATAGTAGCCCGTCTCTTAACCATTTCCAATCAATAATTGTCTAAAACTACTGACTAGTTCAATAGTTCAATAATGTCTAGTTCTGTAGCATATAGTCCTTGTTTGAAAATGATAGAACCAGGGAAGATGAATTCCGTTTGACGATATTGGTCGACGGTGTATAGACTAAAAACAAGCTTGACCAAGGTGTCTAGAAACCAAATGGTTCTAGAACTATCGGCAAGCTAGTCATTATAGGCTCTATATTTCCATTCTGGTTGGAGGATGGACAACCCAAAAAGGGAGTTTATATTATTTATATAAATTATAGATGATAATTAAAACTATCAACAATATTTTTGTAGAACGAGCAATGTAATACTATGTATAAAAATAAATTTATATAAATGTTTATATACTATGTTTTTTTTCCACGTATGGTTATTTTTGAAACTATGTTAATAAACTTCATATTTTTTTCTTTAATGTGTGATAAATATTCAGGACGCAGTCAATATAATTTTTTTTTTATTTGTGTCGACATTTCAACCAAAACATGTTTACTGAAATTTTAAAATACTATCAGAGATATAATGTTATACGACCGACAATGGTAAATAATAAACCATATTAACAATTTTTTTTTTTTTATTGAGTATTATAACAATCTGTCGGACATTGGTTATAGTGAGGTAGGATGACAATTAACAATTAAATATGTAAAAAGTTATACAAGCTACAAATAATGTATATAATCCATTTAAGAAAATCTGTAATATTTTCTCTTACTAACCGAGCACCGAAATCCCCCCCCCTCCCCCCCCCGACCATTTCACTTACCTAACAAAATGTGTCAGTACTTGAAAGCCTTCAAAGTGCTCGAACCACGGTTAGTAAGAGAAAATATTACAAATTTTTATAAATGGATTATATACATTATTTGTAGTTTATATAACATTTTGACATATTTCATTTTTAATATACCATCAATCACTATAGTTTATTATTTACCAATATCGGTCGTATAATATTATATCTCTGATTGTATTTTAAAATTTTCAGCCCTGATGATGACCCACATGTATGGATTGAAACGTCGGCACAAATAAAAATTTTTATAATAACTGCGTTCCTGAATATTTATCACCCATGATATGTAGAACATTCGACTAGCTTCCTTCAATATTTTTACTTTTATTTAAAAGCCTGAGATAGTGTGAACTCTCGACTCTCGAATGGTTCAAATTTTCCGCGAGAAATCAGGCGTGTAATATCTTCACGTAAAAATGGAAGTGTGCTCATGAATGGACCATAAAATGCTAGGATATGTTGCTTCGTATAATTATCTTGTAATATAAACTAAAATTTCAGTAATATGAATACAGGCCGTCGTAAAATACTTTCTTTCATACTTTCAGGCCTTTAGCTTAGTCATCTTGTCGACTTTTCCTGTTTCCTTAATAGATTTTAGTTTTACATATTTCATCCATTGTTATTGATTTTTATTCTCCGAAATATTGGGAGAGGGCGAAACGATATCCTAGCCCTCTCTCTATTTTATTAGGGAGAGATGGGTCAGAGTTGATAACAGTTATCATGTTTATGATTCCATGTTTTATTTATGATAAACATACTTATCTGGTTAATTTTGTCATGGAATGGAAATAACTCCAACCAAAAGTTTAAATTCCACACATAGGTACTTTATTTCTATGAAAAATGTCTTGGGGAAAACAGGAATATGATCTTCCTTAGCCCATTAAGGAGCTTCGCTCTTAGAGATAAACCATGGTAAAAAAAATTATTGAGCAATTTTAAATTTATTTTTATTGATCTCTAGCCATGCATATAAACTGAAGATACAAAAAGAGAATTGTGGAAGTTACATAATATTTAGACTACAAATATAAAAACGATGTGAATTAACTTATTAAAATTATAAACAGTAAGTACATTAAAATATAAACAGAGTAAGCTAAATCGGGTCGAAACGTTGGCTTTTAATAAAACAGTTTTGCCACTATTTAGTCCATTTATGACCGCCACACCTGACCATCTCCTTTCAAAATAATAAAACAGTTTTCAATACGTAAGAAGACATTAATTTATTTTTTATCTGGAAATTCCAATAAAATACAATAGCATAGACAGGTTATTTACCATTCATTCAAAACTTGTGCTGCTTAGCATGATAGCACATTGAGCATTTACAATAAGTGCACAAATACCCCTAATATCGAAGATTCTATATTCCATTAATGCTAAATTTAATGAAAATAAAAGATTTCTAGATTAATCAAAATAATGTTTGATATTATTCTCATAAAAAAATTAACACATATATATTTTTTTTCAGGGCCCTGGGTGAATTACAAACAGAAGAGCTTAACTTCTTACTGACTGGAGGAATATCCTTAGCTAATCCTTTGCCTAACATAGCCGAACATTGGTTACCGAAATCATCGTGGGACGAAATATGTAGAGTAGACACATTAGATGCTTTCCGAGGTAACTTAAAATTTGATTTAATAAATGTTTTAAATTCATTACTAAAACATATTTGCACATGGTCAATAGAAAAAGAAAAAAAAAAGATATATATACATATTCTTCAGGATCTCAAGGGATACGCATATTACCCAGTTTTATACCAAGTTGAAGTGGAATTATCCATCCTACCACCGTCAGTGTTTCCTTGCTACCTTCCTTTACCAGGCTATTAGAACTCGGCGACCCTCCTATATTCTACAGATCCAACTATTAAAATCCTAAATTCAATCCCGTTCCACCAAATCCCGTACATCTGACCTCTATTCTCCTCCTCACTGAACTGCTGCATTTGACAAATCCTTTTTATCCCAAGCAGTCTCTTTCTGTAACTCTATCCACTCTGATATCCGACACGCAAAGTCAGTATCCTCTTTCAAATATCTCTCCTTCAAATACCTACTCCATTCCCAATCTGATTGATCATGAAGTGCACATAACAATCTAACTCGTAAGACTCTCAAAGTACTCCCAGACACTTTGATTACTTATACTTTGTGAATTATTGATATTTTGTACACTTCTTCTACTTTTCTCTGTTTACTTTATATTTTATTGTATTTTATGGGCACACCAGAATGTTAATTTATATTCTCTATTTATAACTTGTTCTAAAGGGACATTAATCCCAGAATAATAAAATTATTTTCATTCAATAATGAATTTTTAAATAATGGACAGATATATTTTCCTTCTTCCTTCGGCGCTATGGCCCATGAAGAACCTTGAGCACCTCAACGACTTTCCTTCAATGTCCAATGTCCTGCTGCTTCTCTCCAATTTCTCACTCCCAGTGACCTCAGGTCTTCCTCTACGTCGTCCGCCCATCGTATTACAGCCCTGTCTCTTCGTCTTTCTCCTTCCATTATTTTTTTGGGAGTGGTTTTTGCTCCATTCGATGTACGTGCCCCAGCCATCTTATTCTACCCTTTTCAATGCCAGAAACTATATCCGGGACCCTATATACGTTTTTAGGTCCTGCATTGGTTTTTATGCAGTACTGACTTCCTTCTTTGATAGGACTATACATCCTTTTTATAAATGAATCAAAATATTTGATTAATCTTTCTCTCCCATCTATTTTATTTCTTTGTACATTTTGTAATCGTTGGTTAAAATTTCTCCACGTATTTGAAACTACACCCTCATCCCAATATACCATTAGCTGAGCCTTTATTGGAAGATATCATGTACTTCGTTGATACTATAGACAGATATAGTAGAGTATTAACAATGTTAATCTTGTTTTCAAGACTTCTAAATTCCAATGTGATATCATAAAATAATTAGGAAAAATTACTAATTTCTTTTGAATTGATCTGCACTAGTTGTAATATGACACATACGTTACAAAAAACAAAATTTCAAGTGGTTATTAGTTATTAAGAACCAAGTGATGCTCAGACATTTTATTTAATCAGTAAACGAGGATGAAAAAAATAAGTTTTACATTTTATGGTCATGTAGTTTACAATGATTTTAATACTTAATTAAAACTTAAAATATCAATACAATTAAGATGACAATATTTATTAGGCTACATTTATAACATATGTTATTTATAATTTATTAGGAAAGCTAAAATATGAAAACAGAACAGTTCCTCTGGTTAAACGAAATTATAAAATAATTAATTAATGATTAAATAAATAATCAATTCGTCTGGCCAGAGACAGTTACCTAAGAACATCGCTATAATTCTCTTATACCTACACAGTTTTTCTTTATTTTTATCTTCACTACAGTTCATCTTGAGTTCAGTATTTTTTTTTCTATTATTCTAGAACATTATTAGTGTTCACTGATTCAAGTGACGTACATTCACGTAAAAAAGTGCATATCTCTAACTGATTTCCTAGAAGTACGAGACTGTTATCTTCTACTAATCCTTACGGCATTAGACACGCTGTTTACTGCTTTTATCACATCAACAACTGTCTACCGGTATTTATTTATAGATTAATTTATTTACTTCTCATAAAATATGGTGCAGTGTAATATATCCAATAATACTATTGCACTCGAGAACAAAAACAATATTAACTGTGCAAAATGTAAAATTATTTACCATAGTAGGTGTTTCAACTTATCTGATAAAGACACCGAAGCACTAAAAACACACAAAAAAACATGGGCATACCCAATTGTGACCAGGCCAAAAAACCCAACACTGAGCCGTCTGCCTCAGAAATACTGGCGGCAGTAAATCGTCTAGATTCAAGCGTGAACGAAGACGTAAAAAACATTAAAACTGCCCTTGATAAATATGGGGAGCTCAGTTTTGAGGTAAATGAAAGATTAGCAAAAATTGAAAAACACCTCGAAAGTCAAGCCAGTAAATTCGAAGAAATTATTCTGGAAAATAAAACCCTTAAATCCCGAGTGGGCGAACTAGAAGTTCGCCTGAATAATGCAGAGCAGGACCTGTTATCCAGATCACTGGAGATCCGAGGGATACCGGAACGAGCTGGTGAAACGCCCGCCGCCCTGGTGACCAGTATAGGAGCCAGCCTGGGAATCAGTCTTAGTGCAGAAGACCTGGATATGGTGCATCGTCGCAGAAGCAGGAAAGATGATCCGCGACCGCCGCCTGTCATCGTGCGATTTGTAAGGCAATCAGTCAGAGACGATTTAATATCGAAAAGAAAAGTCAAGAGGGATTTCTCCACGCGGGATAAACTACCAAGCCTCTACTTCTACGAAGCCCTTTCCTCAACTCCTGACATAAAATCAAAATGGCGACTGCTTCGTAAACTCTCCCTTTGTGATCCTTCCAGATCCCCTACAGCAGCCTTTCCAATATCCCCTGATGATCTAAAATCGCATTTTATATCTGTTGCTAATACCTCTCCTTTATCCTCCTGTTCCGGCTTTCCTATAGAGATACCATTTGACGACAATAACTTCTATTTTTCCGACATTTCTCCCACAGACCTTTAACCGCTGTAATGAAATCCCACACCAATTCCATAGGACCCGATGGCATCCCTCTCAAATTAATAAAATTATGTTTTCCTGAAATCCTCCCAGTTCTTCTTTTCATCTATAATTTCTCCCTTCAGAATTCAGTATTCCCTACATCTTGGAAAAAAGCCATTGTCCTTTCTTTGAATAAAAATTCTAATCCGACCTCACCCGAAGATTTCCGCCCAATCTCAATTCTTTCGAACCTCTGAAAACCCCTAGAAATATTGTACCCGGTGGGCCAGACCCCCTTACCGTGCACCCTCCCCCCCCCCCACATCCCTATAAATTGCATATCGTTGTGTTCCTTGTGACAATTTATTTAAAAAAAGCCAATGTTCCCACAAAAAAAAGTGAACGAACTGCCCCAAAATGGCGTCCAAACATGGCGGATTGACGACTTTGACTTTAGTTAGTTTTTTTGTTACTGAGAATCAGCATTTGGCTTAATTTCATTATAGTTGGTATTTTATTAAAGCTGGATAGTCAGAGAATAATAAAACATGAAAAAATATTAAAAACTAGTAGGCTTAGGCATTCAAAAAAATCGGTAAAGTCAATTTTTTTTACAAAACAGTTTTCAAGTTGAAAATCAAGCGTCGTTTGTAATTAAACGGTCAACAATAATGCAAAACGTGCAGAAATAAAACATCTGGAGAATACATTTATCTTTCTAAAACACTGATTACTTTTTAAAATATTTGAAGTAGTTCCGTATAAAATGTACTTAAGCGGCAGAAAAGCGCTACTGGCGTGGGTTCCTACAGGCCTCTACCACATCACTCAGTACTCATATATGGCTTATTTATAGTGCTATAATAACTTTTTTGTTATATTATATTGATTATATTAACGAAAAAATATTAATACAATAATTTAATTGTAAAAATTTTTTTTTTAAATTTATTATTTTTGTTTTAATTTTTCATTATTTTTTTTTTTTTAAATTTAACTTCATTTATTTTATACGGAGGTCGCTTAAGAAGGCCTCTATTAACACAATTATATAATTATAATAATAAAACTTAATTGAAAAATACTTTGCAGAATATCTTGAATTTTCTATTTAATATTTGCAATTTAACATTTTGTTTTATATATTTACTGATTCTTAGAGGTAATTTAAATTGTATATACTTCCCCGGAAATGAGTCATATTAATATCTGTTTTATAAACTAAAATAATATATACCTAATCTGAACTACTTTTAATGAATAGGTGATGGATTGTTTAGTAAAATTCATATATCGCTATTAAAAAAAACATTTTTATTTCCTTTATTTTATTCGGAAGTGGGACCATATCATAAAAAATAGGAACTTTTAATAACTTAAATATCCCTTGTTGGCAATGGAGTCACAGGATATCTGCTCAAGACTATATCTTCTTTCTTACATCAAAGGTTTATAAGGGTGCGATATAAAAACGTTGTCTCGACATATCGCCAAACAAAACAAGGCCTCCCACAAGGCTCGGTGCTGAGTCCCTTACTGTTTAACATCATGATTGATGATATCACGGAACTCACTGAAACTATTCCGGGTACAAATGCCCTGCTGTACGCAGATGACCTCGTCATTTGGGCAACAAGTAGTGACTTTAAAGGGCTAGAAAATCACATGCAACATGTACTTAAATTATTAGAGAAGTGGGCCAATGAAAACGAGATGATCGTTAATTCCGAAAAGACGGAATTCCAACTTTTTACCCCTCCCTTTCCAATCACTGTTTCTTCAGTTGATCTCAGTTCTGCTTGTCTGGGTGTTTTCTGATCCGCTACTGCTTCAGATCGTTTAGGCTTTGGTAGTATTTCTTTTTCTACCCTAAGAGCCATCTTGAAAAGTATGTGCGTATATTATCCCTTTTAATTTAATACCTATTTTAACCTTTTAGGAAGGGGTTAAACGCTATCATAAAAATAATTCCCAATGCAATTAAAAAATATCCCAATAATAATAAACCGCAATATAAACAAGCCACTTTTAATACAAGACCA